GCAGCTAAATGCCGTAAGAAACGAAATGAACTTCGTGAACAATTAGAAAAAGTATTTTCTGATGTTTAATCAAAAAAATGAAAATTTGTTTTTTTTTGTTTTCCATAGACTGAACAATTGTTAATTGATCAACAAAATAATCTTCAACGTTCAGTACAAAATTTATCTGATCAAAAAAATCAATTAGAAATCTTATTACATCGTCATCCATGTTTAAAAAAACCTCATCTACCAACAACAAATAATCTTAATATATCTAAAACAGATGTTAAATCAATTCCAACAACAACTTTATTAGATTCAAATAATAGTAAACGTGTTACAATTAATTTTACAAATGCTCAAGATCTATTTACTGTATCACCATTAACACGTACAACTGATGCATCATCGTCATCATCCGTACCAATGATAACAATACATATATTGCCAGAAGTTGCACAAGCATTACTTGGTTCAACATCCGTTGATAAAGCTAAATTAGCTGAATTATTACAACAAGCAAATGCAAATACTTCATCAGCAACAGATTCAATGTCGACAAACAATACAAGTTAATTCTAAACTATATATATATATAGAAACGTTTTTTGCGTTTGTCTACTTTTTCTTTTTCTTTTCTTTTTTTTGTGTCCGTTCGATTTTCAATTAAATAAATACTATGTATTTAGATTAAGAACGGATTTATTATAGTTAAACATCAATCATTCTTGTGTAAAATTCGAGCATTTTGTTATTAGTTTATTAACGAAAATCAACTTCTCTTTTGCCGATGAAAGATGTTTGTTTGTTTGTTTTTTTTGTTCTGTATGTGTAAGCATGTGTATTTTTGAAGTTAAAAAAGAACAGAAGTGAGAAATAAAGTTTATGTTTAAGAAAATCTCATATAAAGAAATTAGTTTTTAATCTCTATACATACATGAAATTCTATTTGTTTATTCTTTCATTTGATAATTTTCATGAAGTAAGTAAAATGAATTTTGTTCTATCAATATGTATATGAAATCTATGTTTGCTAACGATGATGAGATTAACAATAGTGAAAGTGAACTTGACTCAAATGTTCACTAGTAATATTATTCTATTCATCAACATGTTTCGAGCATTGTTTTTTATATTTTATATTCTTACAATTTTGATTATATCATTAACATATGGAAAGAATAGAACTAATGAAAATCAACAACAACAACAAATATCATCAACAAGTATTCAAATATGTGGTCCAGCTTTAGTTCGAATGCTTGATATGATATGTAATAGAGCTACACAATTATTAATGAAAAAACGACAAATTATTATTGATGATGATCCATATACACGTATGTTGATTAGATGATAATATTTATGATATTGAGTTTATTCTTTTTTTTAGAATTTAATAATACATTGATTGGTGATTGTTGTCTTCAAGCATGTACACTTAACATATTATTAAAATACTGTTAAGAATTAAATAATGTATTTAGGTAAAACTGATCAATAGTAAAAAAAAAATTTTAGTTGTAGAATTTCTTAACGCTTGTAAATAAGAATGTTCTTTTTTGTGTTACATCAAAATAAAATATCATCCGATGTTTTATAGGTGAAAGAAAATTGCAAGTGTAAATCGTGGTCTTACGTTCACATCGTATTTGGTAATTGAGTGAAACTTGAATGCTATCTAGTTTTATATGAATAAAATTAATGATCTCTGAACAAATACCGATTCATTAATAACAAACACCATTTATTTATTTATTCAAATATTTCGTAAAAAATACAATACAATAAAACAAAAAAAAATAATCTTACTTGAAATTTAAGTAGCAGGAATAATTTTATCATTTGTAGTTGCTATAAAGAATATAACTTAAAATTAAAACTACTCACTTTTATGTAATTGTGTCTTCGGTTAGCTCGATGTACAGATTAAAAACGTATGCTCTTAGAAAACAGTGGCCTTGACTTATGGATATTGAATCGTCTCTTCGAAACTCGGCTTCGTTGACATATAATGAAAACGTCGGAGATACACCGATGAAATTGAATATGTTGTTGTGTTTCTCAATATAATCATCACAGACAAATATAATTTCTGATTCGGTGGCCCTCGACATGCTCGATCAACCCAAAGCGTCGGTATTTAACGACGATAGCAGGGCTTCGTTGTGATCGAGACACGCCGGAAGCCGGGTTTTTAACTCAAACATAGAAAGTTCAAGCAAATTCGAAGTACGAAGTTAATGCATAAGCAAGTCTATTTTTAATAAGAGCATACGTTTCCAATCAGTCATCATTCAGGTTGTTAAGCCACCGGGGGTGTGCTTTTGATACACGACGCGCGGTTGATGATCGAAACTGGAAGAGTAAAGAAGTATTAAAAAAACGTGTCTTTATATAGTCCACAACAATATTGCACAACCAAATGTTATTATAGAAGAATCGAGAAGAACGAACAAAACTACCACGTTAGATTGTGTTGTGATGAAATTATATTTGCACTCTTATGTGATAAAAAAAACATGATACTGACTCAACACGGTGTAATTTTTTTTCTCAACTCCATGAAAGAATAATAAAAAAGTTGTTGATGTAAAGAAATAATCTTATCAGAAGTGAAAGTGAATAAGAGAATAGGGTGTGGGTGTGTGTGGATAAGGTGGATCTGAATATAGGGATCAGTATGATATACCTACACTCTCACGAAGGCAATACATTAAAAAGAAATGCAAGAAAAGAAAAATTATATATTTAGTTCTTTATTCAATACGATACGGAGGTTTTCATTCAAAGAGATATCATAAACATCTTTATGCCTTTTTCTATTTCTTCTTATGAATGGACATAAAAAAGAACCATTTTGCTATGAATTCTATTCATTTCGGTCGAAAAAGAGTCTCTATTTATGTGAGAATATGGTCCAATCTTCCATTTGACCGGTGACAGACACATATGTAAAACCTTTACAGCTATATATATATATATATATATTAGTTACATTTTACATAATATTAGGAAGAAGATGATTACTGATTTATATTAAAAGAATATTCTTGGGGGTGTGGGTGTAGATAACAACAAAACAGTCACAGCCACACTCATCTCTGTGCGAAATTCAAGTCGTTCGAATCCATGGATCGGCTTTTTGTGACTCCTTTGGAAGAAACAGATACTCAAAAGTTGTTTGAAAGATAAGCAAAAGTCTCTTAAACTATTATACTAGAGATCAATATTTGAATGCAACAATTAGATAAATTTTCTCAATCGTTCAAGAATTATAAGACATCAATGAGTGACATTTAAAGAATTTTATAAGTATATGTACCAGAATGTATGAGTAAAAATGAGCCGATGCTTAGAACCCGTACGATTGAATGAAAGAATAAAGGATGTATTTTCTGATCAAAAGAAGTTGCGTTTCTCTCAGATGTTAAATGATGGTTTAGTAGTATATTTTGTACACAACGATCAGTTTATATAACATGAAGTCCCGCTCGAAATACGCAAGTACGGTGCCAATGAGATAGTAGAAATCCGTATTTTATTCGTTTTGATTCACAAAGATTGATTTTGTACTCGGCTTTGTACGAAAATGTCTGTACTTTCAAGCCTTATACTTAGAAATAAAGAATATATGTTTGGTGTCAAATCACTGAATTAACAAATTTGGTTATTGTCCAAGACTTATTTCAAAGTTATCTAAATGCATGAACTGAGAGAGTATACCTTTCTGCACAAAACGTACTACGAGAAGATCTCCAAATGGTAAAGTTGAAGAAAGTTCTAAAGTTTTTTTTATAAAGACAAGAGCCTCTTTTCTTGTTCTATTTGCCAATCAAACCTCTGTAACATTTAGACAAAAATCCAATCAAATGCAAGAATACAGACATTGATATCTGACTGCGACAACGAATTATTTTTGTTCTTCTAACAATAGTTCGTTCTTTTAGAGTGAATCGTGATCTAAATGAAAATATCTATTTGAATTATGAGGATATGAGATATGTATACAGTAAAACTTCTCTGATGTGAACACCGCTGGTTCCTACGAAAATGTTCACAATGATGGGGTGATCATATAGGAGGGAGTTTGACAAAAATTAATCTAAATACAATTCCTTTACTATTTTCTGTACTCTCTGATCATGACTTGATACTTTTATTCAATAACTTATCATTATTTATCACAAAATACTTTTTAATACAACTATTTTAAATAAGAAATGAAGATTTTCTTTAAATCCGCTGAAAATACTCTTGAATATTCTTTTGTTTCAAATTGCTTCCATCAAGATAAATACCGATTAGTTTTGATTGAAACTGAAGAACGAAAGAACGTAATTTTCGTTTCATTTTTTTGCTCTTGTTATATTCATAATCGTCTAAATATTCATTTTTTCTTTCAAGAATATTTGATATACTGCCAACCGATACATGAAATTTATCCTTCAATAATCGATAAGACATTCCTTGTTCACCATCTTTAATTAAATTAACCTTTTATTTTAAATTTAAGTCATTTTTTGCTGCCATAATTAAAAGGCAGATAATGGAAGAATTTCTCTCATTGTTTCTCTTTATTCTCTTCTTTCTATATTCTGTACGGATATAACTATATAGCCAATAAAATTCATCGAAATGTATTTCGTAAGTGTCACGCCACCTATCATTGTTCACATTACAAGATTCATACACACAGTCGGGCCCAAAAAATCTGTTCACATTTCTGAATCAAGGGGTTTTCATATACGAGGGATGCAAAACCAGCAAAATGTGCTCGGGCGTTCCCGAAGGTATTCAGTTAAACAGGGTGTTCACAAAGGAGGGAGTTCACTTTACAAAGTTTTACTGTATATTGATCTAATATCTGCGTCCTGGCAAAATATTCTATAATTATTACTTTCTGTTTATTTATTATGGAAAAAAAAGAATAAAGTACTGAAATAAGTTAGAGTAAAATACCACTATCTAGTAAGCAAAAATATTCGGGTTAGTTAAAAAAAGTGTAAATGTTATTATTAAATAAGAGGTGTCTTTTTTGTCATGTTCTTGTGGAATACAACTCGCCAATATTCTGCTCGTCCTTGTTGCATATTATCATAAGATTGAGTTCCAGGTAATCCAGTCAACAGACAACAATATTCTTGATCTGCAGGTTGAATATAACGGTCAATAAAGTCAGCACGTGAATTACTTTGAATATCAAGTGCATGAAGAACATTTGTGGTAATATTGATCTTCTCTTTGATAATAAATGCATTATTTGCTGTTAAATAATCAATCAATACACTTGGTCCATCTACATTACACAAGCCACACCAGAGAAAATATCCATTAGGAGTAAGCACACGAGTAATTTCATTAACAAATTTCTTCACTGCTTCTATTTCATCAAAACTGTTTGTTGTTTCAATCAAAAGAACAACATCCATAGACTCATTTTGAAATGATAAATGAGTTTTTGGATCACCTATTGTAAACGAGAGTCGAGGAGTTGTTGAATAACATTGTTGACATAGGTTAATAATATCTCGAGAAGGATCTATTCCAACATAAGAGTGAGGAGCATATGTACGAACACACCAGGCAGCACCAGCACCTCTACCGCAACCCACTTCGAGTATATTTTGATCTGTAAGTGTTACATTAGTAAGAACCTAGAATGAAAAACAAAATATTCTAATGATGATTGCTACTATATTCGACATTCTCTATTTCATTCATTGCTCACTTTTTTCAGAAATAGAGAAGTATATTAAAACGGAACTAGTGGTTCTACACATCTTCTAATATATTTTTGTAGGAAAGATTTAAATCTTACGTTAATATTTTCACAACTAATACTCTGATTAATTATCTATCACTGGTCAAATACTTATGATAAAGTAACTTCTTCTCATCAGAAGTCTTGCTAAAAGTTATCACAAGATTTTCTCTGTTTTAAACAAAATCTTGTTTCACATTTTGTGTTTATCAGATATTCCTTTTAGAAATACACAAACAGTACACTATTGCATTCCTGATCATGTATATGATAATATTGGAAAAGAGTATAATTACTGTATTATTTTCTGATGTATGAAATTTGTTTTGATTCACTTCTTATAAAATATGTTATAAAACACTCATAATCAGCCAAATAGAAGTTGAAACTGTTAATGGAAATATATCCATTAGAGTAATGAATAAATTGATTTCTCTCTATTATGATTTTTGTTTTAGTTTATAAGTAGTAAAGTAACTAAAACTATGGTTTGAGTGAGATTCCTATTAATCAATCCAGGCGTCTAAAAGTTAATCTATGATACTATATCAGAAATATTTGAACTCAAATGTATTTGACTCTTTCATTCATCTTCACTTACCTGTTGATAAAGTTTTTTCGAATAGTAACCAGTATTATCATCAATATGTTCATCCAAATCTGCATAACCCCAATTCATAAATTGTAGTTCATTGACATTCGTATAGATATTTAAAATTTGTTTATACCACAAAGACAGTCGATCAACGTTGTTAGATTTCTGTTGACATTTGACGACATCATCACAAACGGGTACAGATTGAGATAAAATTGATTTTGCCATATAAGATTCTAGACGAAAGAAATTCAATACAGTAAAATGATGTATATATGTATCATACGGGATGATCATCAAAAAAACAGTTTAACTTTGAATGATATTACTTTCAAAGAATCAAAGAAAAAGATACAGAGGCAAGAAAATGTACGATATCAATTAATTTTACGTTGCAAGGAAATCGAAGAAAGTTTTATTCATCGATATTAAATGCCAATCTATAACTGATTCATCTCATAAGATGAGGTTTGAGTAAATAATTCAGAGTCAAATCTAACAGAAAAAAACATTAAAATTTGATATGTATTAGTAACAAAGAACAAAAGACGACAAAAGTATGTTGAATACGTTGAATATTTCATAGATAATGATCAAGTGAGAAGTTAATGAGAAGAAAAGCTATTTTAAATGACATATTATATCGTTCAGATGACTTTTTCAGTTACTTGCCATCAATAATAGACAATAATTTATTCATTCAGACTTTTTCTTTTCATTCTGAGATGCAGAACCAATCATATGAAAGTCAGATAAGTATATATCATTATAAGGTCTTTATAAACCATCATGAATGAAAAGTTCGTGAAAGTCATGCTTTCGGTAATGAATATAAAGATGTATCCAGAACTATTATGAATAAACTGATATTTGCAGAATATTACCCAATATCTTAGTAGTATTATAAAATACAAGTGTACATAGCTTTATCTATGCAAATGACTTACGTGCAGGAAGTCCTTTCCATTGTGTATTCGGTTGCAATAGATCATTTTTCATTACGAGTGTAAAAGGATAAAGCCGATTGTTACCCATTAATTTACAACCTGACATTACCATTGATCTACTCATAAGGACGCACGAGTTACCCACTGTAACAGGAGCTACTTTCCAAACACGTTGCTCGAAAGTGTGACCCTAAATGATTATACAGAACAAAAATTTATAGATATAAATCACACAAAATGTATATATTACCGAAATATCAGCACTGGTGTTAAGTCGAACATGATCTCCAATAGTTACCAAATTGTAATCAAAAATAGAAGCAAAATCAGGTATGATGACATTGTTGCCGATGTTCGCACCATATGCTCGAAATAACCGAATTAGCCATTGTGTATTACCAAGAAATGAACAAATAAAAATTCGATGATCTTCTCCTAATTTTCCTATTATCTGTTCGATTATTTTATTGTCTACATATGAGGACCATCGATAGAAACTGCAAACAGTTATTGTATGAATGATTGATCCACCAACAAGACCACATGACAGATAGATACCTATGAGAAGACATTTACTAATATAGTGAGAAAAACAAGTTTTCCAAAATGGAATAGTTTTAATTTGATCTTCCGTTGCTTGTCTAAAGGGCATTTGAAATGGCATAGCACGAGCTGGAACGCCAATGAAAACATCTCCACTGTTACTATTCGTTTCTCGAGTGATTCGCGTTAAATTACCAACCATAGTATAAGATACAAGATGACTGCCCGGCAAAATTGAACAAAAATTGCCAAGATTTGTATGAGATCCGAGTGTTATACAATCTAAACGATGATCACCTGGAAGTGTCATCTCAGTAGGAACTAATAAAATATCAGCAAAACTAGTGACTCCTGTTTCGAGTTTTAATAAATTTGTTGGATAGGATAGAAAAGTATCTATCTCAGCGAGTTTCACATCATCTTCAACTTGAGCACCTAGCCAACGGAGAATAAAAGGATAAAGATAATCATGCCCAGTTGGGAGCAACCAAGCATAATGAAAACTAGATACAATTAATTGACGAAGCCACACCTTATGTAAATATGACCATGATGCAATTGGATATGTCTCACCAGCAGCACAAGAACCAACTACGAATTTTAACAGAAAGAGAGTGACAAAACAAGCAATAATTGACCATAAAGTCCAGCAAGAAGCAATACTAATAGGTAGTGGTATTTGTTCAACTGAATAAACTTTGTAGACAATGGCTAAGAGTGTACAATGAATACAGATAAGT